TCTGTGAGAACCACCGAAGTACAGTTTTCCATAATGCCTCCTTTAATGAGTCATTTCTATTAATTGACTAGATAGACTCTTAAGATTCAGGTAACTAATTACAAGCATAGGCTCAGGAGTGAGCTTGACTCAGGCTTCAATCCAGGCATTGTAACTTATTGTGTGACTTTAGCAACTAGCAAGAACTCTTCCTGTATTGAATAGCCTAGTCAGCATTTGGTTTCCTTTTTGGGTAACGGTAGTACATTTCTTAATAAGTTGTGGCACTGAAATGTTAAAACGCTTTTTATTTATTTACTTAAAAAAAATGCCTTTAACATGCTTAGTATAGTGCCTGGTACCTGGTAGAGACTGGTAATGATTATAATGATGGGGTAAGGCAGATAAACAATGGTAGAGATGCTGCTGCTGATTCTAAATACCCCATAATGCCATTTAACCTGTTTCCTACGTTAAACCAAAACTGAACCAAAGCAAACTAATTGCTGTTGAATTGACTCTCACTCATGGCGAGCTCATGTGTTCTAGAGAAGGCAACTTTCTTCCAGGGCACCTCTGGGTGGGTTTGAACCTCCAAACTTCTGCTTAATAGTGGAGTGCATAATAATTTATACCATAGGGATTTCTTTTCCACATTAAACCATAGACCAGGCCCACTGCCATGGAGTCAATTCTGACTCATTGTGATCCTATGTAGAGTTTCTGAGACTGTAAACTTTTATGGGAGCAGAAAGCTTTCTCTTTCTCCTGTGGAGTGGCTGGTGGATTCAAACTGCTAACCTTGGGGTTAGCAGCTCAACGTGTAACCCATTAAGCCACCAGGGCTCCCTTTCCCCCCACGTTGTTGTTGTGAAGTGCCGTTGAGTCATTTCCGACCCATAGCAACCCTGGTTTCTGAGGAGTGACTGGTGAGCTTGAACCACCGACCTTGCAGTTCAAACGGCTTTGCAGTCTGGCGCATTAACCCACAGCACCACACCAGCACTCCTTCCCCCCACATTAGACTCTGTTTAAACAAAATGTGAAAAGTTTTTGATTTCTGTTGTTAAACCTTTGTCCTATAGTCTGCTCTTCTGTATTAATCAGAAAGCAGTTTTGTTTTTTATGTATCTGTGTTTTTATTTTAAGTTTAGTTTTAAGACTTATTGAGCATCAGCTTCAGGTAGCCTCAGAACAACATGGAATTGAGTTGCCATGGGTCCACTTATCCCTAGATTGTTTGAGAGTGTTGCTTAAATCAAGTGTTGCTTGATTTAAAACACCATGTTATGCTAATCATCTCCAAGCGAACATTTCTTCCATAAACTATACATAGATTTTCAATTTTGCAGGAAGTTGGCATCCTTGCTCCCATTCCCCCCCCCCCCCCCCATGTAGTTCAGGGGTCAACTGTACATAGCAAGTCAACACCACCCATCTGTCAGTTTCTTGTGCTGTGGTGGCTTGTGTGTTGCTATGATGCTGGATGCTATTCCACCAGTACCAGCAGGGATAATAGCAACAGCAGTAAACTGTGGAACACAATCAAATACATTATTTCATTTAGACTTCACAGTAACCTGGTGATTTAACACATTGCGATGTGTTATCTCATATTACATATAAGCAAAGGAACCAAAGTTCAAGTCCTCACTAATTAAGAACAGAACCTGAGTTCAAATTTAGGTTTTTAAATAGATAAGAAGGTTAGTAGAACATAGTAAATAGGGCAGGGAAAAAGAAATCTATGGCTAAACCTTGCTACTTTGCCATGAACAGTGCTGCCTTTCAAGTGCCTTATGAGATCTTTTGCCATTATGACTATTTTTGGTTTTCAACTATTTCTTTGTTGGTATTATTGATGAGTTTTGGTTGTTAGAGAAGCCCTGGTTGCTCAGTGGTTAAGCGCTTAGCTGCTAAATGAAAGGTCCACAGTTTGATCACACCAGCTGCTCTGTAGAAGAAAGATCTGCTTTTGTAATGATCTACAGGGGCAGTGGAGAAAAAAATTGAAGTTGTCAAGGACTTCCTTCTTCCTGGATCAACCATCAACACACATGGAAACAGCAGTCA